TTTTGACAGTCATTTTCATACCTCTAACTGTATGTTGTAATTATTTTCTTATATTACATTATTATTATAATGAATCACTAGAATATTACTCAATAGTGCGTATTCCTTTTGTCAAAGGCAATGCAAAAGAAAATAATAAAAAAAGTTCCTGCATACGTATTAAAAATGTATTACACTACAGTGACTGGAAAACATCTGCCATCTCATGAAACTTGGATCTGCAACAAATTCTCATAAAGTTCAGTCCCCTGAACATGCTTATTTTTTTTCATCAAGATCCATAAATTGTTACTTAAAGGTTCAATGTGTAGAATTTAGAGACATAGAGGTGAAGTTGAATGTTGCCAACAAACAAACCTTACACAGTGAAACTGGTAGAGAAACAGATGAGAAATATCGGCTGTTATAAAACATGAACAATATATTAGTTTTATCAATTCAACATAAATTGTACCACTAACAAACTTTTTCACATCAACTTTATTGTTGCTAAATTAGTTACTAGCTAGTTATTATTATTAAACAGATAATGTTGAAGCTGGAACTCATCAGGTGACAATTGCTCATGTTTGTCTGTTAGTGTTTGCATATTGTTCCACCTCCTGTTCTCCTTGATGCATCAAGTCTACATTAAGATCTTCTGCATAAGACATCAGCTGCTGCCTGAGTTCTCCTTTCACCAGCTTCCAGAAAACTTCCATAGCACCATCTCCACCTTCTCCTACTGTACAAAAAAGAAGCAAAGAATATGTGGGATACACATGCTGCCATCTTCCACCGGTGACACCATTTGGAGCCAATGTGCACAGTAGTGATCATGGTGCGGAGCTGTGATATCGAGGACTAATACACAAGTGAGTCAGTCTCAGTTATCAATCATGACATTTCACTCGGTTGTATAAGAAAATGACAGAAACAATCTTTTGGAAAGTTTTAGTTAATGTGTACTTTGAAATTTTTAGTTTGGTTCATGTCCCGTCTGCTAACATGGAGGAGGCGAGGTTAATGACCTACACTGCAACCAGCTATCAGGGGGTCATTGAAGTGATATGGCTTCAGTTTTCAGTTTTCAGTCTTCAGTCGTCCATCTTCATAAACAGTTTATGGTACGTACACTTCAACCAACCCAGAGATTCATGACAATGAAATTAATTTAAAACGTTCTCTAAATTCTCATGTGATGGTTCTGTTCTGCAAACAAGAGTTCATTTGACAGGAGATAAGGGAACACATGGCTTTATAAACATTGTATGTAACTGAGAAATATCACAGAGGAAAACATGATGGAGAAACATGGGGGGGGGTTACATACATGAAACAGGCTGGCATGGCAGCAGTTACCCATAAATCTCCTGGCTCTCTGTTGCCTGGAGACCACCAATGTCAGCATGATTCCATGTGTTCGGCGGGTGAATGACACATTGTGATTTAGGAGCAGTTACTAGGTTTATGTTGCACTGAAACTCTGGGGGTCACTTGAGTCTGACCTGTCGTTTCCACGCTGTAAATCTGGACGTTTTAACCATGTGTGGTTTATTAATGATGCTTTAAGCTGTGTAAACTAATGACGTTTGCCTCGTTTCCTCCACAGCGTCCTGCCAAAGAGACCACATGAGCTGCTGGGGTTTTATGAAAACAAAGAAGTAGGTAAAATGTAACCAAATACAATTTTAGGGTTTTTATACTTCACTTGATTATTTCAGTCTGCGCAACTCAGAGAAACTGTATGTTTAACTTCAGTGCATTTACTGTGGTCACCAGTAACATTCAGATTAATGTTTTATTTCATACAAACATACATAAGCTTATAAAAAGAATATTAAATCAAAATAAAACCATTGGTTCTCAAACTGTTTGGTTGGTGGACCCTTACAAGAAACCAGAGTCTAGTTTGATTTATGATTTAGTGTTTGGGCCCAAAAGATGTCAAACTTTCCAATATCTAACCCCTAAACAAAAACGAGAGAATTTTGCAGCGGAATTCAAACTTTTTTCTTCCCTCTCTCATTAACCCTCTCCTCACCTCTTCTGGTTTACCCTGTGACCCTTCTGAGGGCCCAAACCCTAATTTGGGAACCACAGAAATAAACAACCACACTGTATGTAAAGTATTCTGATGTCATCTCGAACTGCTACAAGAGTAAAATGGTGCATCTGTGCAAATAATAATCAATAACAACAAGTACTTTTACTTTATATTTTTTAAATACTTTTATTACTTACTTCTAGTATTTATATTGTTGTATTGGTATTTGTACTGATATGGAACATCTAAATACTTGTTGTAATCCACATTAAATAATAAATAACAGTTGTGTGATAGCCATTAGTCGCTGCGGGATAAACACCCGGCAGCGTGCACAGTGAGAGCCAAATCCACGTGCACAACAGAGAAGAGAGGGAAGTGAGAGGGAGGAAGCACCTGCCTTGTCAATCAGACGAGAGCCAAGAAAACTACAGGAACAGGTCCTGACAGCTCGGCTGGCCACCTCAGATTACAGCCTTATTGTACTGTATCCCTGCCTCCATGTCACGCTTTAAACATGTCACCATAGCACCATCATGCTAACATGTAATGAAGTAATACGAGAGGACATTTAATGGCTACACAGGGCTGTAAAGTACACAGCAATGTTGCATAGCGACCACTGAGTGTGTAATGTTTTGCATAGTGGCTTCAAACAGCCCAGAGGTCATGGTACAATACTATTTACGCCCCCTCTCTGACAGCAGTAAGCAGCAGGTGCTAAAATGTTGTTTTCATGCCTCGCACGGAGCAGAACTGGTATTATAGAAGCCACCACTGAGCGGGCTGTTACACTCCATTAAAATTCCTCCTGTAGTAGCATCCAGGGGAACTTTCTCATGACAGGGAAGTTATATCCTATTTAAGTTTTATCAATCAATATTAGCCTATGAAGGAAATTATCCCCACGCAGAGGTTCCAGCTCACGTGTCTTCACGTGAATTCATATTTTACTTCATGTTTTACTGCATTTATCTGTCATCTACAGTCACTAGTTACTTTGCAGATCAAGATTTTGGCAAGTCAATGAAAGGGGTCATTTTGTTTGTTTTAAATTGTGTACTTGTTGCTAAAAATACAGACATATTTTGTACATTTTCCCCCCTGTCTGTTTTTTTGTTGGTTGGGTTATTTGAAAGCAAGATGATACAAAAACTACTGGACGGATATCATGAAACTTGGGGGAGGATGTGGTATGAATACATTTTGGTGCTAATCCAGGAGATTTTTATCACTTTCTTTAACTTTGTGAGATTGGGTGTTTTTCTTTGATATTTTGAAAATTTCCTAAGGATTCAATTATGGATCTTGATGGAAAAAAACATTCAAATATATTCACTATTCACTATTTAGTGAAGTGATATCAGCACAGAACACCTGATGACGCCCAGCTGCACAACTGAAGATTTGCCCCTAACATTCCCTGGTGGTCGCTAATATCTGCTAACATCAACTGGTGGTCGACATTCAAACATACAATGAATATTCTCCACCTTGTCCTATGTTCTACAATAAGTGTGTGTAATTTAATGCAGCTTGATTGAATTTATGGTGAGTGTAATTTCCTTTTTTAGCGTATTCTTGAAGTGAAGTGCTTTGTCTCATGTGTCCATTTTATAATCAAGGCTTCTGGGTCCTTTCTTCATTTTAGGAATCTATAACTTTCTATCAAGTTTGCAGATGTTATAGCTTTAGGTTACTGCAAAATCATATATTATAGTTGCACTTCTTCATATTTGATGGTAAGCTCTCACAGAGAGACATGACACAGAGCAGGCAGAAAAAAAACTGAATACTTTAAATGAAGTCAATGATACGGAGCTGCCAAAAGATGATAGTCCTTTTTTCTCTTGTAAATTCAAGACATGGATCGATATAGAACTTGTTCAGACAAGATATTAGATTCATCTTGAGCCTAAAATATATAATCTTTTAAGAGACTGAGGATGGAATACAATGCACTAAACTGAAGAAGAGGATGATGAAGACAAGACCAACAGTCCCCTTTAAATTCCATCAAGCTGCACCAAATTTCCCACAGTCATCAGTCCCCTAAATGTGTCTGATTTTATTTTTCAGTAAGATCCATGAATTGTTCCCTTGGTTAAAATGTCAAAAAATGCTTCCTCAGCCCACATCCCACCAAATCTGTTTCGAAGTTTTTGCATAATCCTGCAGACGAACCAACACAAAAACGAAAGGACGGGGGGGGGGGGGGGGACATGACTTCCTTGTCAGAGGTAACAACATCTTCGCTGGAAGCCATATTAAAATTAGTCTCTTGAGACGATGAGAGGAAACGTCAGCAACATTTGCAGCGCAAAGTTACAAGCTGTTATTTCCAAACTGTGACCGCACCAGCAGATGAGCAGACTTTGCCCCAAGTTCTCAGCCAGGAGGTGTCTGTCTACAGGCGCCACTGAGCGATGACATCTGAACCTGATGACGGCCTCCCGCTGATTTTCTGGCCTCCACCTTGAATACTGATTTCAACTTTTCTCTAAACATAAACAAACACCTGCAGCGCGTGTCAGGTTGTAAAACCATTTGGTCATTCTCTGGTTGGCCATTACGTGAATTTAGGAGCTCTAGAAATGTGCGGTTGACCCCCGCATGGTTGCACAGTTTTCTTTTCATTCACTACCTAAATTATGTAGTTTACATCATTTCATATGAATGTGTTTATCAGATCTGAGGGGGCGTGTAGCTCACGCACATGCCCAGTCCATGTGTATGTAAAAGAGCGCGCATACTTGGGATATACTGGGTATTTGCCTGTCCATCTCCATCCATGTGATCCCTAGAAAGGATCAGGAGTTTCATGTGTCAGGACGATCCCCCCTGCAGGCGGCCGTTACTTCCAAACAAAACTTATGTACACCCCCTCCTCCCTGCCCGCTTTACCCCCTCCCCACTCATATGGAAGTTAATAAGAGAGACCCTCCAGAGACTTGCAGGCAGTGCAATCGCAAGACCTCCCCAAGTTTGACGCCCAACAGCGCCGCGAGCACCGAGGGAATCATGCCTGTGCCCAAGAAAGCAGGTAGGCAAGCATCCTCACCTGAGTCCCTGCAGGGACCAGCAAGGGTCATTACCCCATGTGGCAAATGAGCCAAAAGCATCTGTTATTTATCATTGACTCATGACTATGAGCATCTGTTTTTACATCAGGTCAATGACAAGTAAACTGTATTTAAATTTACAATGAATCATGGAATCTGTGGTGTTTTCCTGTGATTTAGATTCTGCAGTTAAATCCTAGTAGAATTAATTTGTTGCCGTGCAGGCTTAAAACTGGATCCCAATTTGAATCATCTTTTTGGATTTCTTCACATTTCTCTCACTGAAATGCATTTGCAAACCTTATTATTACCAGAAAAACATAACACTTTTGTTTTATTTATATTTCAAATTCTAATTTATTTTCATAGATCACTCCAATATCTGAAAAGTTCACATAAAATGCTTGAATATTCATCAGAATAGAGTCGTGCCCTTCTGTGTTATATTATTATCACTATGAGTCTCAGCTTTAGAACGTTTAACTTTATTTATTGCTTGTCAAAGTGTTTTATTACACATTTATTATGTGTGTCATATGTTGTTTATTCGATGTTATTAAAGAACTTCATGCTGACCATTGCTGAAAGTCAGCGCGGGCCAAACATCCCTCCTCACCTTGGATCCTGCCAGCGCTCCGGCCCATTAATCATGTCAGCAAAGTGCTAGAAAGAGCTTCTCCCTGGGAGGTTATGGTTTCTCCTGCACTTGTGCCATCGCTTACCGAGCGCCCCTCATGTCAAAGCCCCCTCTGCAATTTCAGGGCTCACATTTCTACCCATCTTTCTCGTTTCCTTTCATCCCACACCACGTGTTGTGGTGGTGCCTCCATTGCTTCACTCCCTCACTTGTTGCACCATTTGTTGGCCTATTGTGGCTCTCCTGGCCTCTTTCAAACCCATGCCTGGACTTCCCCCACCTCCCCAAATGTTGCCCACCACCCCCCTGAGTAATGAAGTGTGAAATGCTGCACGCTTAATGTAAAAGCCCAGCTCAGTTTTATTTGTGGTAGTTTGATTGTGCCACTACCTCTGCACTTTGACTTATCCTTAAGGAATCAGCACCATCAGAAGTTTCTGTCACCGGAATGGAAAGATAATTGATAACAGATCAATATTATTAGTTTTTATTGGCTGCATAAAATGTAATAATCAATGTATTTAATGTTTTTAATGTTGCGGGTCAGGAGCTAACTTAAAGCTTTCCTGCATAAATTCTTTTTTTTCCCTACATCCTGCGTCCTCCACATGTGCCCTATTCCCTTTGCATCTCCATCTCACGCGTGCAATCACCGTGCGGAGCTTCCAGCCAAGGAATCTTCATACTTGACAGGAACTTGAGGGATGAGCCTGGGCTCGTGCCACCCCTACTCATCTCTCTCTCTGTCTCTCTCACTCTCTCTCTGTCTCTCTCTCTCTCTCTCTCTCTCTCTCCATCTTCCTCATCTGACTATACTGTCTGATCTTGCTGCCTCAGTGGGATGTTAGAAACTGATCCTCACAGATAAGGTGGCGACGTCCCTCTGAGAGGTGAGACTCAGGAAGGGGAAAAGTCTAACGCGTGTCCAATCAAAAAAATCCATGAAGCATGTGGAGGTCCAGCGATGACCTTTTAGCTAGGTTGCTGAAACACGCAGTCTGCAGGTGGATGGAACTCAAGTTTTATAGCTCGTCGTTGGTCCACATCAGAATTAATCTCAGATTGACCTCACTGAAGATATCTCATCCTCCTGAATTCTGCCTCTGTTAGCTTACTTTGTAGTAGTTCTTGCTCAAACTCATCGTTCATCCAGCCATTCAGCCATTATTCCGACTTGAATCTTTTTTACGGCCCCTTTGCCCTTAAATATGTTTACACCTCACACCTTTAGTCTTGCAGCCCGTCTCCTCCATGTCTCTGTTGCCACAATGTCAAGACATCAATCTTCTTGAGTAACTGTTTATCTCTATGGGGCTTTTCTGTTGATGCCTGTCCCGTTGAGCGTGGACAGGCATCAACAGGGGTTTAACCTCCACAGAGCAGCTGGGGAGCTATCAAACTGCATTTCCAGTCGCACCCCCCCCCCACCACCAGCTCAGTTTTGGCCAGCCTGATATCTCACTGTGAGGTTACCGAGGTGTTGAAGATGCCAGAAACACCTCGCAGATTTGAAGATGCATTTATTCACAGTGTAGAATTTCTCCAAACGTCTCCCAGTCTCTCCTCTGTAATTCCTCTTAATGCCTTGATCACCCCGACATTAATCCGCACGGCTTTTCTTTCATGGAGGCCCCCCACCAGCTCACCTGCTGTGTCCCTTTAATCGAGACACGACGAGGAAGATGGATGAAGTGATCTGTCACTTGGTGTCTCTCTGCTCCATCGTGATGTTTCCAATGAGGCCTGCATGACCTTTACTCCGTTCGTCCTGCCAGGTCTCCCCTTCATCTGGTCAGGGTCTGTCCCCTTCCCGCTCGCCGCCATTATTGTCCATACTGCAGTGAACATGCTGCTGAAGTAAGTAAGGACATGTGGACAAAATCCAAACTTGAATCAGATCTGTTTTTGAATCTTAACCCTCATTGGAGTCCAATTATTATATCAGCATACCCAAGCAATTATCACATTTTCTGGTCTTAGTGGCTTAGGTCGAGTAATTGTATTCCACATAATAGTCTGCGTCATAACAGACACACCGAGTATTTAAGTTGATAATTACAGCACACGCTGTATTTTAGGCTATATAAGAGGAGTAATGGATTGTTGCTTGAAAAGTCAACCTTTAAAAAGACCCCACAACCCTCCTCAACTCATCAGACCTGCATGTCGACAAGATTCTGTGAAAGCAACTCAATCCCCCTCCATGTGTCCTCCAGGCTCTGCCAGGGCGGGCATACCACCCGAATGCGATGACCTCAGGCACATTGACGCCAGCTCTACGAGAGCCACAGGCCGACAATGGTCGCACTGCGGTCATTCAGTCCGTTTATATGCATGTTAATAATCCACATAAACACACAAATGGCTGATTTGTATACTATTCACACAATGACAAAAAAAAATAAAGCAAAGAACAAAAACCAAAAGACACAAATGATTTTGAATCAATGAAATCCTACATTGATGCATTCAGAACATGAACCAAACTGTAAATACGATAGAAAAGGACCAATTAGTTGTTGTTAAAGTAGAAGCCGGATGAACAAATTAAAACAATGAAAAATACCTGGTGGAATGTAACTAATTATATTTACACAAGTGCACATTTGAAGTACTTTTGCTTTGGTTTAACACTGTTTTTCTGTTTCAATAGATTTAATAACTTAAGACAGTTGTCAGATAACTGCAATGTTTGGCAAATTTGATTGAACTATTACCAATGTGGCTTTTCACAGTAATGTAAATGTAGTGTAGAAGATTAAAAGATTAGATTAGCTAAGATTTTTTTGGGTTCACTGACACGTGCAACTTCAGTGTTATGTAGAGAGTGGAAAGCTGCATCTAAAGAGAGTTTATCCTGATATATCCTCTCTTAAAGACACATTTTTATAGGTGTGCTTTCCCCTAGTTCCAATCTTAGTGACTATTTCAATCATTTTAATTTTTAACTTGTAAAGCACCTTGTACCTGTGTCTTTTGAAAGGATCTGTATAAATAAAGTTTATGATTATTGTTATTATATTATTATCATCATTTGCAAATAACATTATGCTGCAAAAGCAACCATGCCCCACTCCTACAGCCGTTTTCCAAGCCAAGGGCAGAGAGCTGTTGAAATGAATATTTTTCTTTTTTGTAATGACTCAAATTTTAATACAGAAAACAATAGAGAAAAGTGTTCAATGTGAGAAAATATCCAGAATATTTCCATTTGATGAAGTCAGGTAGCTTTTAAATGCAGCTTCAATGTAATTTAATGTCATATTTGCAGCGTGGGGAGGTAAATGTTATACTTAACCTCGTATAAAAGCATATGTGTCTTTAATTATGTAGAGGAAGTCTCATATACCTTGCAGCCCTGAGCTGTGACAAAATGACCACCCTTGTATGGAACTAGAAGCAAATTGAGTTTGTTTCGTCTAATTTTGGTGACACACAAATCAAGATGATGCAACTGTTAGGTGAGTAAGAATGATGAGGACCGAGCCTATTTGTCAGTGTGAAATCTGAGAGGTGGTAACATGAGCGAAGACTGACCAGTGCAAGTTTTTCCCCCGAATGCCAGCAGACAGGGTGACTCACGAACTGGAGGAGGAACAAATGAACAGAGATTACACACTGGCCTACGACATGACAAACATGCTCTGGGTGGTGTGAAGTAACAGCATCGTGCAGAAAGTGTATTCTTAGAATGAGACTCCTGCTGCTGTCAGTGGCCATGATGTGTGTGGTTAACAGATGCAGGCCCGGGCCTCTGGATTCCCCACGTTGAAACCTAAACCTTGAGCAGAAACTTCATGAATCAGTGCTGGGCCGACATTGCACACATACTCTACTGTGAATTAGTGCGGGTTGAGAGCAGCAGGTGATTTACTGGACGAGCGGCAGCCTGACAGAGGCACTGATGAAGGGGAGAGGCTGCGGAGAAAGATGAGAGGATTTAGAGTTAACTTGTCAGTGCCATCCTGAATAGTGTTGTGCATTTCATTTTACACTAGCCATTGTGAGGGGAATCTCTGGGGAGAGGCCATAAAGCATCCCATATCTATTTGTCACTTTGCTGCCATAGATGTGAAATAAACACACACACACACACACACTCTGATTCACTCTCATCTCTTTCTATTACAGGAAGAAAAAACAGTGCAGCTCCCGTGGAAGGTAAAGAGCAACATTTGTTACTGCTGTTGGATTGTCTTCGTAAATCACCAAAAGGAGAACAAGATCAGTTCATTAAATTCAATAGATGGTGTCGTGTAAATCTGATCATCCACACGTGATAAAGTAAATACATTTTCCCTCTAATGCTCTGATTATCTCTCCTGTCTGTTCCCTCAGAAAAGCTGCCGCCATATGAGCCAAATGTCCCTGAACCCACCACCAGGGCTGACTTCATGAAATGTAACTTTTATTTAATTTTTTTTCAAAAGAAATCCAGCATCACTGCCATACAGTATGGCTCACTCCCAGTATTGATTAAAGCTACTTGAGGATAGTAGCGCAGTGAAGTATGGAGTCTTTGTTGTGCCAAATATGATTTATTAAGTCATTAAAAAAGTTTAATGCATTTAAAATATTTAGAATGTAATCGATTTATAATTATTAACACAGAGAATAATACAACAATATAAGTGATTAATCAAGAAATGTTTGTTTTCACATTTAAGCAGATTTTTAGATCTGGTAACACTTTTGTTACTCGGGTAACTTTAAACACAAAGTCAATAAGCTTGGTTAAATGTAAATGTTTTTTTATGCCTAAACTTATTCCACAAATCCCTGGTTGTTTGACTTTGGCTCACATACTGTATCTCTGTATCTCTGTTTCCAACCAGTCACTCAGAAACACATTTTAAGGGTCATCTCTTTCATTTCTTTTTCTGTATATCATCTTGATGAGATGTAGTGTTTCTCATTTACAAATGCAGATATTTGTAGCAGTAGATATTACATTTTAAATCTGAAATGGGAATATAAAAATGAAGGTTGAACTGTTGCAGTTTCATTGTTAAGCGGGGTCTAATTTAACTTCACAACAAAACTGGGCCTTTTTAAAACTCCAAAGTATATATTCAGATTAACTTTTATCTCTACCTTCTATTCAGTGGGATTTCCCTTACTTCTTCCTTTTCTGTTCTTATCTTCTCAGACCTGTTTTTGTGTCTCCAGGTCATCTGTCATATTTCTGTCTCTTATCTCCCTGACTATTGTTTTCATGTGTCCCTCCTCCCTTCTCTCAGATTTTTTCCAGCCCTCTCTGGATGATAAAACTGCACAGAAACTGTTGTGGATTTCAGAGGGCAGCTCCAAAGTGGCTCGTACGTCTGATGCAGTCTGCCCGTATCCCAACAGGCCTGAGAGATACGACCACTCACCACAGGTAGGTGGCTAATAAAACAGTAATCAAACCTGCAGTGTTGTCATCACTAGTCATTGTGGAAAAGATGCACTTGAACATGACAGGGAGGTCATGTGACAAAACAGTTTGAGGAGTGCTTTAATCGAGAACACTTATGTTCTTAATGAGCAAAAAGAGTAGCAGGTAGCATGAATTTGAAATACTTGAATAAAGCTTCTCAAAATTGTACTTAATTACAGTAACTGAGTAAATTAACAGTTATTTTCAGACACTAGTTTCCTTATAAATACTTTGTATTGTTTCCTGTACTTATTTCAAAATAAATTTTCACTCCTCAATAAACTACATTATGTCTTGTATTTTTTTTGACCATGGACCATGTCCCATCTACTAACATGGAGAAGGTAAGGTTTATGACTTACTGCAGCCAGCCACCAGGGGGCTATCAAGAAGTTTTGGCTTTACTTTTTGTGGAACTGTCCACCATTTTATATAACAACTAAATAAAAGTGTTTCTTTTTTCATCAAAATGAGTTGTTGATCTATTCTTTATATAAGCAACTGTAATTCTGACACTTGTGTAATGTTGGACCTTCTCCTCAGGTGCTGTGTAAGGAGAATCTGCTGGGCCATCGAGGGTACTGGGAGGTGGAATACGAAGGGTGGGTGGTGATCGGGGTGGTCTGCGAGAGTGCGCCCCGGAAGGTCCAGGAGGGGGCCTGCGGCCTCGGGGAGAACAGCGGCTCCTGGGGCGTTGGCTGGTCCGGCTCCTGCTATCAGGTCTGGCACAACGGCGAGAATGTGGACATCCAACTCCCCCCGTCCACCACCATGGGAGTGTATGTTGACCAGCCTGCCGGCATCATCAAGTTCCTGTTGGTGGAGGGGGAGGGCGAGAAGGAGGTGCGGCTGATTCACAAGTTCAAGGCCAACGTCCAGGAAAAGCTTTTCCCCGGGTTCTGGGTCGGCACCAATTCCTTCTCCCTCATCCGGAAAAAGGATCAGTGACAAATTAGAACGGGTTTGGGCTGCGGGGTGCGGGGGTGGGGTCACAGGGTGTAAATTTAAGAAGGTGTCAAGTTGTTTGGGGAACAAGTGTTGGAGTTGTAGAGCAGAACCGAAGCACGTCGAGAAATTTGTGTAGCTTGTGTTTGCTTTCTCCGGTGCATGAAGAATGCTGTTCAAATCTAAATATAACCAAATATGCCTTATTATTTTTATTTATTATTGCATTTACAAATTTAATTTAAGTTAGAAAATAGGCAAAGTTGTGTATGTTTATGTATACACAGAGCTTTACATGTACTTGAGTGCCTGATTAACTTTAGAGTCTATGTATTTTTTATGTGCTGAATGTAGACAATAAATTCAATTGTTGTGTAATATTACTGACACCATGTTTCTTTATGCCTCAACACCAGCGACAGCTAGTGTTCTATTTTCGGGTAGTCTGTCCGTCCCATTCTTGTGAATACGATATCTCAAGAAGGCTTCGAGAGAATTTCCTCAAATTCAAAACAAACATTCATTTGGACTCAGGGATGAACTGATTAGATTTTGGTTGAAGGTCCAAGGTCATTGCAATGGTCGTCAAAGGTCCAAGGACCTTACAAAAAATGTTTTCGGCCTCTTGAACATGGGGATTTCAAATTTTCATCAGTTGTCACTTGTACTCAAAGATCAATTGATTAGATTTCACAGGTCAAAGGTCACGGTAATCTCATGAATATGTAAAAATAAAATGATATAGACTGGTGGAGGGGTACAACTGAAGGGCTGTATTATTTTGTAGTCCTAAATATAGCCATTGATTTTATAGTGAAGTACCAATGCCCTCCAGAGGATCTCCGTGGTATTGCATCCTCACACAAAATCACAACGAGTCTTCTCTCTTGGTGTTGCTCCTTTATTAACAACAAAAGTAATTCATGGAACATTTAATTGTTTTTGAAATGTCAAATGTGGACATCTTTTTCAATCAAACCATCTTCTCTTTTTCCACACACACACACACACAGTCACACACACTCACTTCCTCATTCACTCAACATCCGGAGCGAAGAAACAAAACAAAAAAGAACACCAACCCCTATAACGCTGCATCGATTTACAATCATCCGATCAGTCAGTCATTCATTGGCAAAAGTAAAAGTACAAACAGGCATGTTATGAGGAGGTGCTGGGGTCCTCCGCTCACATTTTTTAAAAGCAACAAGCTTCGTGTTACTTTAACCTTTTCCTCAGGTCCAGTACTAATGTAGTGTTTGGAGACGTGAAGTCACTAGTGTTGTGAAATGTGTAGTGACGAGGTGGTGGTTGGTTGGTTGGTGGGTGGAGTGATAGTGTTGAAAATGTTATTAGTGTTCATAACATTTCTTTCTCCGTTACTCCTCGAAGCATGTGCCGTAAATTTTGGTTAGTGAGATAAATGGAGGTCCTAGCCTTTACACCGTTTCACAAACTGTACATCACATCTGCCAAAATACAGGCCCCGCCTTATCCCTCCGTTGTCATGACAATATCTTTCTCCACGTTTCCTTTTCCACTCTCAATCGCTCCCCTCTATCCCTTTCTCTGTCTTCCCTCTGCTCGTCTCACACTCTCAGTGCTTGAGGGAGAAGTCCCCGGTGTTGAGACGGGGCCGAGGCAGGGCCCCAAACATTTCGGTCCCGTCGGTGGCTCCGGGGGCCAGCAGGGCTTTCATACTGGCAGCAATGTGCTCCAAGTCAGCACAGCCCACCTGAAGGGGACACACACACACACATAGAGGGCACAGGAGGGTCATGGGGGTCAGAGACGAGAACCTGGGCGTTAAAGGGAAAATTCCAAATTCACACTATTATGAGATGTTTTTTGTAAAATATTTTCCCATTATGACCTCACACAAATGTCACACATACTTTTACGGTCACATGAACTGATGGAGCTGTCGTGGCCATTAGCTTGTGCATCAGAATACTGAGAGGTGAATTGTTTCTTTGTCTTGGTCTTTAGACGCCATGAAACATGTCAGCATCAACAACAACATCAGAAGAGAAACAACAGCTTGTTTTATTCATCAGTTCTCTCATTACCTTTCTTTTAGGAAAATGAATTTCAATTTAACAAATGAAAGCAGAACATTTTATTTTATCTATAGAATTTATTTCTAAAGGTTAAAGTAAATGAAATTGTCTATTGGATGGAGAAAAACAACAACTATCAGTCACTCCTCGTGGCAGATGAAGCAGCAGCAGATTTACAAACACCCAATTCTCTTTTAAATCACATCCTTCCCTCAGGTTTCATGCTGATCCGTCCAGTAGATGACAATATAACCTCCCTCGCAGAGACAAACGTAATTCCAATACTTGTTTTAGTCAAGTATTGAAGTATGATGGAAAACCAGTGGACATATGACCTATAAGTATACTGTATATTATATCATGCTTGTTTCAGTACTTCCCAGCAATATTTAACACAAATTCTTAATGATATAATTTAATAAGCTTACGCAACTTGTACTTGTATTATTGTCAAAAATCTGCACTTCCATGATCTTCTGTAGGCAGCAGCAGAGATTAGGGGGCTCAGAGGGGGCACATCTTGCCAAATTTAAGAAAGGGAAGAAATTCCTGGCTCTAACTATTGATCCGGATCCACCCTGTTCTAGAGAGTTGGGGTCTCACGTACCGCCTGCAGTTCACACCAACATAGACAAAATGATCTTTAATGCGGTTTCAATGTCTGTTAAATATGTAACAAACACAAATATTCACAATGCTCCCTGTCCCTGTTTCAAAGTAAAAGCACTCTAGAACTTAGACCTACTTTTATTAAAGAAATACAGAGATCTTACAAGAAACCTCACAGAGCAGCTCCACAGCGCACACACAGCAAACACTGTCAGGACACATGCCCTCTGTGTGGCCTGGGTGTAATTTGGTTCTTGCTCAGGTCGTGCCTCACCCCTCCACAAAGTTTCATGGAAATGGGTTTGTGACTGTCAGACAAACACTGATGAAGACAAAACCTCCTCAGCTGAGTGGATTACTCAACTAGATTAGCTCCAGAAACACGAGCAGTAATATTCACATATTAGAAAAAAAATCAGGCAATGATGATAATGCATGAATTATTTTTGTCCCTGTGATGAAAACAGGTTAAAGGTCCAGTGATTAAGATTTAGGTGAAAGGGATCTATTGGCAGAAATTCAATACAAAATAATCCTAGGGATGGTTTCATTGGTGTGTTTCATCTTACTTGTACAAATTGCTCTTTTCTATACCTTAGAATAGCCCCTTTATATTTAAATACTTTACGTTTACGCCAGAGTGGGTCCTCTCTATGGAGGCCGCCATGTTTTTTTTACAGTTACTGGACAAACTAAACACCTTTTGAGTTTCTATGACAACTGAAGGCTACCATAGGTTCTCTCTCATGTTTGGAAGGGGAGAGTGAGGGGAGGGTGAGCTGCGACATGCAACTTCACCACTAGATTTCATTAAATTCTCACCGTGCAAACATCATAAGGATCTTCAGTGACAAGATACTGTGTGTGTTCGAGTGTGTTCTCACCCGCTCTCTGCTGTTGCCGTCTCCCTGAGCGCCTCGGTTTCCTCTGCAGCTCCACACGGGCACAGATACAGGCAGCGAGCGGGCCAGAGCCATTGGGTGGGCGTGACGGGATGAGTAAGCAGCCTGACCCATGGCCATGCCACGAGGAGGTGGAGGGGCGTCCTCACTCAAAGAGCCTGAGACAGATAGAAAAAAAATAAAAATGAATGGAGATAATGAACGTATACAGACATACATAAAGTCAAGATATCAAACTCTTACCATCAGTGCTCTCCTCCTCCCCATCAGATTCAAAGAACGGCTCGCAGTCCCTAGACAGAGAGTCCTCGTCCATCGAGAACACACCTGCAGCAGAAGGACGATAAATCGTAAGAACACTAAAATAGACACAGATAAACCGGGGGGGGGGGGTTTACATTGAATTGAATTTGCACAGGGGTGTCACAATCGCAGGAATATTATTAGACTAGAGTTAAATGTGAAATAACAGCAGTGGCAGAGACCAACTGTCTCGCTCCTCACCTGCACTTTCATTCCCATAGGGTCTCCTCTCATCCATGTCGTCCTCCTCTTCCTCCTCTTCACACTCTTCTTCCAAATCCACAATCCCAGACCTCTGTCTCCCTCGCTCGGCCTCCAGCATGCTACTCTCCCTCTCTTCGTTCCCGTTCTGCCCGGCACCCTGCCCGGTGCCAGCTCCTGAGCTGTAGATTGACGGGTAGTTTTGGGAGTACTGTCTGCTGTTGGGGCTGACTCCGCCCACACCACCGTCTCCTGTAAAGCTCTGTGACAACAGCAAAACAACCCAGCATATTACGGATGAGAACACTGCGATTGAGGAGTACCACAGTGCAGTGTGACACACAAGCAGACCACTCACCCCCCTGTGTCCTGGGTCAGAGGTCAGGTCAACCACCAGCTTGGTTCCACCCTCCCCCCCAGCCTGGCGTGTGTGCTTTTGGGCTGTTAGCATGGTCGTGGAGTGCAGCACGCCAATGTCGTCCATGTAGCGGCGTGCCGACTCGGCCAGAAACCCCTGACCCCAGACGCTGTAGGAGAAATCACACTCCCTCGGAAAGGCACTGCAGCTCTCCCGCTTCCTCACCCCATCGCCGACGCCCGCTGACAACCGGAACTTCTTACAGGCTGTCAGTATAGCTAGGTCACAGCCAGTCTTTTGGCAGTATGTTTCCACTGCAGAAAGTAGCGCCAGCCAGCTCTCCTTGTGGTTGTCTGGGATCTCGGGCTCGGACAACTGCGTGATGGAGGCCATGATGTTGCTAAGAGCTGTTTATAGCTTTCTTTAGTGGACTACGTTGACGTGAACAATGCTGATGAATGTTGAAGAGTTTAGAGAATAACCAGAAGCTCAGATACGACTGATTCTGGAGGGCATTAAACTCAATAAAGCACAGTTACAAGTAATCAGTTTAAACTTTGGTAGCTGTGGTCATCTAAAAACTTGAGATCTGTTTCTTCTGTCTTGCTGGTGTTGAAAATGTTTTTGCACTCGTGAGGATGCAGGGGAAAGAATGCTTGATCAGGTAGAGAGGCACTAGGTGACTTAAAGATATGATAAATATATTAATGTAAATATATGTATATTTATAGTGGCCGATGTCCTTACACACACTGGAGAGCCAGGGGAGAGAAAAGATGTTGCCACGTTGCTGGTGATACCTGGGTAAATAAAAAAAAATATGAGTAAACACAGGGTCAACAGCACAATGAAAGGTGTTATCATAAAATATATAAAAGGAGAAAATTAATTTAAACACAGTAGATGACAATTACAATTAAAATCAAATACAAAACATAACCCAGTATTTATCATCTCAAGAGCTCAGTCTGTATGAAACTCATTCCTTTATTCTGCAACAACTGCCAGCTGTTGAACTACAACTAACTGAGCTGACAGAAACTTTGCATTTAGAAAAAACTAGTTCTCAAAAAAAACCAACCTGTAAGGGTGAAACAACAATAATCATTTTTATAATTTAGGCAACATGCAATATTGGGTAACACTCCTGGGCTGGGTGTGGACATTTTTGTTCTTGTTTTACTGCGTCAGTGTGTGACGCCAGGATTGTTTCTCTTCGTAACATCTGGCAAATAGTCTACATGCAGACTAATACAGTGCATATCCAGCATATGTGTGGTTAGCAACAATCCATACTAAATGAGATAAGAAAATAGGGAAACAGGAAGTGCAGAGGGGGTTTGATAAAGACAAACTAGACAAGAGGAAAACAGGAAAAAAGAAAAAGGAACCTAATGTAATGTTACATGTTTGATTTTTAACAAACTAGATCCTGCTTTAATAGTAAACTGATTTTATTTGAATATTACAATATTCGTCAGACATAGAGACTGATTTCAATGTCATCTGTCCACTTATTTCTGACATGTTATGCAAAAACAATTAATAATTATGATATTGAACATGATCCTTAGCAGATCTAGTTACCATACCTGTCCCAATAACCAGAACATGGGACAGAAGTGGCAGTCACCTTATCTCAGCTTAAACTTGATACTGTCCTCATCACTGACTGTTTTTATTGTTTGAAGAAAAAAGGAAAAACGCATGGCTATTTTTCCTCAGTAAAAATATTGATTTTAGCTTTTCATTCCCTATTTACCTTTACACAGCTTGCAATCTTAGGGCAAGGGTCTGCTGCCACTTACTGAAAACTAGGGGGGACAGAGCGTTTGCCATCAGGGCCCCTAGGACACAAGTGTATACTATATAAGAAGCGGTGGGACAAAATATTGATACTGCAATCTATTGTCATCCTGACTCATGAGATACAATCAGCTGGCACCAAATATCAATACTTAGTTATTTAGTTTTATATAAATAAAGTTTTGACTTTTGCCAGTTTAGGGATATTTTACATTAGAATGATGGAATATGCAACAAGTTACAGTGTGTTTGTTAAAAACTTGAGAGACACTAAGATAAGACTTAAAGCACTTTCTTGTACATTGTCTCATCTCAGTTTGTTTGTGTGAACCTGACACCAAACTGCAGTGAATAAATACACAGACGCTACACTTCACCTGTTATGGGGCATTTTGAACTCCTCTATGCTCAGATAACGTGATGCATTGTTATAGGATTGTCTTGCAATATATCGGTCATCGCAGAATTGCTGTATCGTGATATTCTTGTTATCGTGGGCTATCTCACCTACGGTTTCTTAGGTTACGCTGCGATTCCCACCCCCTGTATATAACTTGGTTAAATATTGGTAATTACACATTTATAAAGTTAACAAACAGTGCAAACAGGCAGTAAGGAGATATGTTGAGACATGACATGAGTTACAAATGAAGAAGCCTGAGTCTGGTCCAGAAATATCCGGTTTACAGATAAGACTTGAAATAAATGCACAGACCTGTCGTTTACCTCCTCTAGTTGAAGTGAATTGATTTGCATGTGTTTGATTACGTGCAACTAAAGTCGTAAACACAAGCTGTGCAGACGGATGTGTCCTCTGACTGTGTCGCAGCCCCCACCTCTGTGTGTGAGCTGCATGACACCAGCCGATGCTAACTACTGTAGCTACTGTAGCTTCCTAATGACCCAGCTCTCCATTGATCCCCTCTCTGCCGTGTAAGCAGCCGTCCTGCCTGGGTTTAACCCGCAGACCACGCACTCCTCAGCCCCTGTTGTTGTTGTTGTTGTTGTTGTTGATCGGGTTGTTTACCCACTGTTCTGTGCAGCCACTTCATCATGGACCCTCGTTTCACCTCCATTTTTCTGGCTTTTAGCACGAGCCGAGACGCGCAAGTGTAAATTACGGAAGCTCGGGAGGACGTTCACCCACCTGTTCGTGTCCTGTCTTCCACGTTACCAGATGTTAATCGATCTTTAACTTTACTTCTTGTTTTATCGCTCAGATTCTGCTTCTCCCACGATTTCTCTCCCCCAGCTAGGCTCTGCACCCGCAGCAAGCTAGCAAGGAGCAATCACAGCGCTTCCGGTCGAGGATTTAAAAATAAAAGCACTTGTTTTTGCAAAGTTTCATAGACAGTTATCACATGAAAACAGCAATAATAATAATAATAATAATAATAATAATAATAGTTGTTCAAAAATTGAAAATCGACAGTACAACACAGTAACCCTTCTATTTCATACTGTGTGGTGTATTGAAAATATAATGCAGTGTCAAAAATTAAACTGCATAACAGTATGTGTATGTTAAAGCATCAACAATTATATTAGAATAATGTTACCATATAAAATATGAATCTGATATGGGTTGTGCTTTCATTTCTACAATGTGGACTTACTTTGGCTTCTGTCTTATCACTTTTGTCATCAGCTAGATATATTCATAATTTATAACAAATATCATTCATTCTTTTTCTGTAACACAATCTGTGTGTAAGCATTTATATTTGGTTCACCTTCATTTGCACTTTGACAATTGAACGTAACCAATTGAAGCTTTTATTTTGAAATGTACACTCAGCCACCATACGCTTTTGTTTCAGTAAGCTCAACTTGGCGTAGCTCTGACGTCACCTGTTTACTGCCTTCCAATCGAACGCACGTTGTACACGTGATCGAGTGCTGTGAACGGGCTCGTCCTTTCCTTGTTCTCGTGCACGTGTACAGCCCACCAACTCCTCACCTGCTCCACCAACCCAACTCTGTAGAGTCTGTGCAACCCACACAGCAGCTGCTCACTCAGCTGCAAAGACACTCAAATTGCTACAAAGGAAAATTCTTAACACTGCAAAACACTAAAAACTGGTACAGCGAAACTCAAATCTGATGCAAAGACACAAAAGACTGCTATAAAGACAAAAACAGCTGAAAAAGATACTCAAATCTGATGCAAAGAAACTCATATATGATGCAATGACACGAAAACAGCTGCAAAGAAACTCAAATATGATGCAAAGAAACTCAAATCTGATGCAATGACACAAAAACAGCTGCAAAGAAAACTCAAATCTGATGCAGATAAACTCAAATCTGATGCAAAGACACTTAAACAGCTTTTACCATACTAAAATAGTTACAAAGAAATTTAAAAAACTGTTGCAAAGAACTCTAAACTGATGCAAAAACACTAAAAACAGCTATAAAGAAACTTATAACTGCTGCAAATAATCTCAAAAAAGATGCACAGTTGACAAAACAGCTGCAAAGAAACTCAAAATAGCTCAAAAGACCATAAAACTGTTACAAGGAAATTCAAAACAACTGCAAAGAAACTCAGGACTGATGCAAGACTCTAAAATCTCAAGGAGGAGGAGGAACTCAAATGATCACAAATAGACGAAACATGATTCCAAAGTGCAGCAGAACAACTGAAGTCTGATAAATACAAATACACAGAACAACAAGTACAAAGATACATAGAATGACCAAAACTAAAATCATCCCACTGAGGAGCAAAGCAACATGAAATTGAGAAGTTACATTCAGGGCATATATATATATATATATAAAACTCTGACAGATAAGTAATCAAGCATCAAAACAGTGTTTGAATAAAATTATTTCATATAATTGTATTTAGACATTGAACAACACTTCATATATCTCTAGAGTGTCATTCTACTCATCCAGATTAAAATAAAAACTGATTTTCACTTATTTTTCCAATATTTCGTCATTATATTTAAATATGACATTGGTAACCAGCGTGTCCACCCCCCCCCCCCCAGTGGTTGGTTACGTCTTCAGTATGTTGAGTAGTATTTGAGTTTGTTTAAATGAATATGTGAAGTATTATTACAGACAGTAATATTCTATCTGACATCACGTTTCTCTGATTGTGATTTATTGTCGCGTTAAAAAAACAGAGAATAAACAAACATCTGATTGACCCGTACTCTATGACGCATCCTTGGGGGCGGGGGCTTGTAGGAGCAGGAAAACTGTGACGTAATATTTGTTATGGAAGAACGAAGCAGTGACTCCGGCGACAGAAGAATGGAGCAAAACGGTGAAGATTACAAGGTAGTTCTGGATTTTTACACTCATTTACCTGCGGGGTTCAAATGCGAGCATGTTGACAACCTTGCCCACAACTCCACCTTCATTTTTCGGGTGGAACTAGTCGAGCTTTCGGGGCAATGTTAGCTTCAAGCTAGCTGTCGGTTCTCAATTAAACGCGAGATAAAAATCAACCCGTCAGTTACACGTTGTCATCTGGATGATCCACGAAACGTCGGACTCTGTATCAGAAGCCGATAGATGTGTTTACTACCACACAGACACGTTAGCTCTGTGGCTACCTGGGTCAAAGCTAGTTCATCACCACAAAGTGTGAGTTAAGTTTTTCGGAACGAGTTTTTCTACTGTCTGTGGTCGAGTGACCTGCCAGACCAGACGAGCTGAAATCATGTGATCGCTGTCGTTTACTGGCTTTGTTATGAGGTCATGATCACTATTGATCAACACTGTATGCAGATTTAATTTGACATATAAGTAGTTAAAGCATATAATACATTTATAACAATGGCCTCAATCGCATTTTTTTTAGAAGCCATCTTCAAGAAAAAATATTTATGTATATATATATAAATAAAGAACTGTGCATGAACCTAATTTTTAACCAGTGTCACTGATTAGATTTTGAAAAGGCAGCTTGTAATAAATAGATACTAAATCTGATCATACATGACATAATGAATACACAGAGGGTTATACAGCACATGTCCACCAATGAAACATGTCTCAATTTTATTCTGGACTTAATTATGGAGTCAGAAGTTAGACAACCAAAAAACAAGTAAAAGGAAATGAATATAGTATTTAAAAGCCATTTTCTGCTTTTATAATAAACTCATTTTATTTGCATTTTATAATATTGGACAGACAATGCAGCCAATTCACATTATTTCATCCAAGGCTCTGGGAAATTATAATGAGAACCTTTCAACCCATTGTCGATGCGGTTACCATACACCTACCAATTATGTCCCCCTAACCTCACTCTGGCACAGAAGTGAGCCATCCCCTTATCTCACCTTACTTTTTATAACCTTGGGATTTCTTTCTTTCTCAGCTGATATTTGAGAAGGAGGGAGTTTACCTCCACACAAATGCCAAAAGGAGTAACCAGGACACCACCATCCCAGGGTTCATCCGCGTCGTGGAGCGGGTAAGAAAATATGTCTGAGTCAAGCTTGATATGTAGAGGGAAACCCCGGAAAGCACTGCTGTCATTGACTGTGTCTTTGTTGTAGGCTGGGGTGCCAGCTCTAGAGTGGAGCCCACTGGAGGATGAGGGCCGCTGTGCCCCCGCTGTACTCTACTCCAAAAAGGTCAGTAGTCATGATTAAGCGGCACATGAAAAACAAAAAGATATTCCGATATTTTCTGACACAAATGCAATTTACTGTCGTCAACTTATTTGTTTTACCAATTAGGATGGAGAAGGAGGGGAGGAGGATACACACTTTGACCCTGGTTATGAGCCAGACTGGGCGGTTATCAGCACTGTGAAGAAAGATCGAGAACATGTTCCAATCAAAGAGTCAGGTGCTTTTTACTCTGCTGTCGGTTATGACATGGAGTTCTGCTGATAAGAAATGACGTATGAAAGTAAATATCCCGTATTTCTCTTCCAGGTCAGTGGTCATTCTCTCTGCCTCTGTCAGAGCTCTACTCTCTTCGGAGGGCCCGCTTCTCTTTGGGTCGAAACTTTCTCGTGTTGACGAGTAGAGGCGGGCACCCGCTGCCTGCTCTACACTTCCACAGGGGAGGAACCAGGGAACTTCTTCGGGCCCTGCATCATTACATCATCCTGGACCAGTAAGTATTATAACTGTAACACCCCCAGCAGCAGCAGTCAGTGTGTTGGAATTTGTGTCAGCTCTTTGAGCAGCTGATGTAACGTTTCAGGCACAGCTGTTAACATGATGCGTCACATGAGTGGAAAAAACATCACGTGGCTTCTTTTGTTATCATCAGGTCACCAGTCGATGGGCGACTCTTCCTTGCTTACCCACATGACTCAGGTGCACTCTCTCACTCTTTTGATAAGCTGCACCTCTTTGATGACGGCTCGGATCTTGTCTCGGTAATTAACTTCTGTTATTGTTTGTTTTCATTTAAAAGAGAGCAGGTATTACATGGTACATTTAAAGTGGAAATAATGTTTTCTAAAAGTATACACACTTACATCAATCTCCATCATAGCACTAATTGATCATAAAATCTTTCAGGTTTTTACGCTTGATGATCAATAGCGATCAAAGTCACACTGTGGACTATACGTGATTTTGAAATGTTACAACCTTATCACTGGTGATCCCGACCTCCCCTCAGACTCACATAATGAAGCACACCCAGAGTCACAGGAGGAATTCAAGTGAAACACCTTTGCATCTGCTACTCTGCTTTTTTTTCTATTTGAACAGAGATTCATCCACGACCCCTACGCCACAACATTCGGTGGTTTCTCCAAAGTCACCAATTTCTTCAAGGCGGCCCTCCGGCCTCCAGATTCCCCGGTCCACTTGCGCACTGCTCAGGATCCAAACCTGCCCCCCCAGTCTGATGACGAGCCTGGATTTGAACTTATCAACTGTGTAAGAGAAAGACACTAAAAGGGCCATTTAGAGTCCTGCCACCCGTGGGTACTCGATGGGTACCCCACAAAAAAGTTGTGTAACGTGTAAAAATATGTTTATAGAAATATAAAGGCCCGGTAAAAAATTAACCAATATAACTTTTTTTCTGGAAATATTAGGATTAGTACAGTATTTTTAACATTTAACTCATTTGTATGAAGCCTAGTCAGCTACAAGGTTGGTTATTGTGAAAGCCTACAACACGACCTTTGAGACCTTCACTTCCTCTCAGAAAACTGTCACTACCGACCGCTAGTACATCAAAATATATCACATGAATGCCCACAAAAAGACAGAAGTGAGTTCATTCTCAGTGGCTTATAGAATGAATTGCCTAAATGGGTCAAAAGAAATGTGAGAATTGGAGACATTAAT